GCATTTTGGCCCATTCCTGCCCTTTTTCCAGATATGCTTTTATATATTTCCTTTACAAAAAATGTGTGTCAATTCCATTCTGCTTCAACTACCTGCTGCTGAGGCCCTGTTTGCCTGGTCAGGTGGACTTTGAAGATCCCTTGGGACGATTTGAAAAGAGAAGGATGTTTCTCTCTCCATGCGTCCAACAATCCATCAGATAAAATTGATTCACTTCATGGCTATTTGTGTTAACTGTTTTGCACACAGTAATGTACGCAAAATTACTATGCACAAAATTGGCTACCGCATTGGCCCACAAAATACACAGTCACTATACTTTACAATGAATCCTGTGAAGTGCTTTGAGCCATCCTCCCAACGTGAAAGGTTTATCTATCAGTATTGATCCCTTGAAATGTTTTATATAATACACTGCTGCCTTGTTATAACTCAATGATTGGGATGCACAAAATTCCAACCTGCCTTTCAAGGCATCAATAGCCAGTTTCATTGTGCATGCACACCGCAGGCCAGCTCAGTTCCTGCACTAAAAAAATGGCCAACCTCGGAATCATTATAAGTACGGGAATCAGCTGGCACATGGATACATAGGCCACACATGGGAACCAGGCCAGCCACACGCATGTCTAATAAATGGGTTCACACACAGTTTGTGTTATAAGCGGATATAATTAAACCCATTTAAACTGACTCACAGTTATATTACTTGCTTTCTTGATGACTGTTAGGAAACAAGACCAGACATTCAATTGTTGGGTGGGATGCTGCATTGGGGAAGAGAGATGGTAGGAACTTCTTACACAATGTTTTGATCGTTTGTGACATTGTGTATTGTAACATTATGTTGTGACATTTATATTATGGTTGTATCAGGCATATAGAATGTGATCAGGAGTTATTTTTTACAGAGCAGATCTAAGCCTGAATATCTGGACAATGCTGTGATTGAAGAGGAAAGAGTGAATCAAACTCATATGATTCAATGCTTGAAAGTTTATATCCCCTTCTATACAGGAAAGCCTAATCTCATGTATCTACTGCTCTACATCAAACTACGGCTAAGCCTCTCTGTGGGAAAATACCATTTCCTCATAGAGACCTGGCTGAGGTCAGGACACAGCACAGTGTGGATAAGCAGATCATCACACTCTCCCATTAACCATTCTTACAGCTGATCAGTAGAACAAGCCTCATCAACAGAAATTTGTGCTGCTATTCTAAAGAACCAGTCCACTAACAGCAACACTTTGTAAACGTACCTTCCTCCTGCTCATTTCCACTTTAGAATTTCTGGGGAATGGCATCAACATGAAACTTTCTAATACCCTAAGAAGCAGCTTATCCACTTCAGCATTATTTGCACATGCTTGAGAGAAGCCATTTTTCAGGATTGTAGACCTGGATCAATTTGCGACTGTTTGTGGGACATTGCCGTGTACAAAATATACAGTGAATTCACTTTGCATTATAGTATATCAAGCACTTTGAGACATCTCGAAGACTGACTTACCTGCCTACTGAGAGAGGATTAGTAGAGACTCTGGGATAGGAAACACCAGCAAGTTTAAACACTACAATACAAAAAACCTGCAAGAATCTCAGCAACAGAAAATTGATAATATTTCACTAAGCTTCTGGGCTAGTCACCAGGTAGGAACTGCTTGAAGTTACTCAGTCTACTTGAACTTGCATAAAGCTGATAGATGGGCAGCCTCAAGGAAATCCCTAGTCATTCCTAGATACAATTCTCTTATGTTACTCGAGAGAGAGAATAACTGCCTCCATAAGTAATAATAATCCTTGCATTTGATGTTGTGTCTTATCATGTCATTGAGGCAGTTCAAAGTGCTTCACAGAATATATTGTAAGTGAATTGCCTGTGTATTTTGTGGGCGGAGCGCAGCACAGCAGTGTTCCACAAATTTGTGGAGTGAGTGACCAAATTATTATTATAAAAGCGAATTTATATTTACTACTAGATAAACAGAGGCGTGCAGAGTAAGGAAACTTCTTAAGGTTTTGCTCCACCCAGGTTGGCTCAGGTTGTAATGCACTCACCTCTTGAAAGATTGTGGGTTCAAGTCCCATATTTGGACTCAAGCTCACAGGTTGGGCTGACAGACAAATGCAATATTGGGGGAGCAACTCAATGTCAGAAGTACAATCCTTCAGAAGAGAAAATGAACCAGAAACATTAAACCTCTGCCTCTTCAGGTTAAAGACCCTTTGACACTGTTTGAAAAGAGAAGGAAGCTTCTTCCAATGTCCTGGCCAACAATCGCCCAGAAAAAAAATGGACATTTACTTCATCTAATAATAATAATGAATCTTGCATTTGATATAGCGCCTTATGTCATTGAGACATCTCAAAGACTGTTTTGGGGACATTGCTGTGTGCAAATTGATAGTGTGCTGATTCAACAGCTCAACATATGTGCTCCACGGGTCCAAACCAGACATTGGAACGGATTGGATTCCCAAATTGAAGCTAATTTCGTAATGTTTAATTTCATGGCTCTTTTGTTAAATTATTGAAAATTAAAATGTACGGCTGGTCATTAATATGGAACATTTGGAAAGATCTTATTACATTTAAAATTGTGGAGCCCAAACTGACCCACAGCTGGAGCCAGGGTGGGCGATAGAAGCAGCAACACAGCCAAATGATCTCAGCTCATTTCACTTCAGCTGCCTTTAGAACTGTCTCAATTTGTGCCTTTTGGTCCATAGTTTTTTGGTGCTTCCCCTTTGTTCCCTCTTGCAGGTAGAGAAGGTTGTCAATCTGGGTTTTATATACAGAATACAAAAGTGAGGAAGTGATAATGAGTTTGCATAAGATATTGGTAAGGCCACAATTAGAAGATTATGTACAGTTTTGGGGCAACAGTATAAAAGATCGAGCGGGTGGGTCCAGCGTTGATTCAAGAGCATGATACCGGAAATGAAAAGATATAAGACAGCAGGAGAGGCTGGAGAGGTTAGACTACACCTGTTGGAACAGAGGTTATATATTTAAGATAATGAAAGGGTTTGAAGGAATGCATTACAAAAGACTCTGCTTGTATGGGAATCGAGGTCAAGAGGGCATGAAGTCAAGATTGTGCCTAAAGGAGTAAAAAAGACATAGTGCTGTTGTGATTTCCAGTTTATTGGGGATATAAAAGACAAACATCTACAGAGGAAGGATATCTGGGATCCTGAAGGATACAAGAATGAGCAGGGAGTTGGGATTAGGGTGGATGGCTTCTTGGAATAGCAACGAACATCATGAAGAAAGTGGGCTGAATGGATTCCTGCTGTGTCGGAGTCATGCAAGGCGCTCCAAGTGCATGTTGTTCTATCTCTCTTCAAATATTTATCCAAATCCCTTTTAAATATTAGTGCTAACTTCAACAGCATTATGTGACAAAGCACACTGTGACTGGAGCATATTAGTTCGATTCCCGGGCGGGGCGAAACCTTAGGCAAGTTTCCTTACTCGACACATCTCTATTTACCTAGCAGTAAGTAGGAACCCTATTGTTAAGTCAATTGACGGATCGTTTTCTGGAGGTAATAATCCCTTAAAATAAATAATAATATGTTCACTCAATCCACGATGGTTTGTAAGACACTGCTGTGTGCAATTGGCTGCCGCGTTTCACCCACAAAATTTACAGTCAATTCACTTTACAGTATTTTCTGTGAAGCGTTTTGAGATGTCTTAATGATGTGATAAGGTGCTTTATCAAGGATGCAATGCAAGGATTATTATTACTAAGCCTCTGCATGTAAAAGTGCAATCTAATCTCTCTAACTCTTAGTGACAATCCTCAGCTAATGCTTAAAATAACATACATCACAGTGCCTTTCATATACTAACATTATACATCCTGCAATGCTTAATGTAACTGAACCAAACTGATTAGAAATGATCAATGTGAAAAAGACAAATGCTTCCATTACCATCAAAATTGTGCTCTGGCACCTGTGGGGCTATCAAGCTTCTTTATGCTGTTGAGGCTCCTTGTGTAAGGTTTCTCTCCACTTCTGCACTCGATGCAGATGGACCACACGTCTCTGCAGAAGCTGCCTAATTCTAATTCTACTGAACTTCAACAGCTAATGCACAAGGCAGAAAGAAAACAATGTCTTTCGAAGGATTTAAAGAGGCTATTCATTCTCTCCAGTTACAAGTTTAACTGCGAGTGAGCACAACTGTGCTTCTGTTCTGAACAGCACCATCCTGCTGTGTTAAATCAACACTAAAAGAATGATTCAGTTGCTTTAGTGAGAAACGTTACATATTAAATGAACAGCACGTAAAAAATACTTTTCATTCCTCACGAGGACATTTAAAATAAGATTGATTTTGAAGAAGATTAGTCTCAGAAGAGCTTGCATAATTATAGCACTTTATCATGTTCAAACATCTCAAAGAGCTTTACATTTAATTACTGTGGAGTGTTTCTGTAGGTAAGTGTGGCAGCAATGTCCCACAAACAAACAGAAGGTGAATGATCAATTTATCGGTGAGATTGTTGGCCAGAACACCAGGAAAACCTCTTTACCAATAGTATTCTGTAATCTTTATGTCCATCTAACAGACAGACGGAATATCCGCTTAAGCTCTCAGCACCTCCAACAATAGTACAGTAAAGTTGTGAAACCAGGGATTTTGTGAAATCTCTAAAATTTTCAGTAAAATTATGGAACCAGGAAATCACTGAAATTCGGAGTCAGGAATTTCATGAAAAAGTGATCATTCCATCATATTGATAATCCTCAACTCCAATTACCAGTTCACAAGTGGGTTCCTCACAACTTGTGTTACACACTGAGGTCACAAAGCGGACTTCTCCCAGGCCAACAACTTCCTTGAATCTCATTACTTTGTAGAATTTACACTTGAATACGTTTCAACTGTTAAATGCTGCTCAAGCCTGATATCAGTGTTTGGTAAGTGACTGTTCTCAGGGATTCGGATTAAGAAGGGACAAACTGTAAATCAAGATTACCTGAGTAGAAGGTGTTGATTTTGGCAAGTTCCTTTTCACAGCTTTGGAAGAACTTCTCCTCAAACTTGGCATAATATCTCTTGACCGTGTCTTCATCAGTGACTGTAAATGCAAACACAAAAAGACCGTTACTGATGTGGAAAACTCATTGCTTGGCTCACAACTAATCTCATTGATAAATGACAGCGACACATTGTCTTTCATGTGGAAAAGGACCCTTTTTTTATTCCCTTGCTCTCTATCTTTCCGCACATTTCCCAGCCAAGAAGGAGAGTCCATGGTGTTCAGCATTTAAGACATGCACATGGATTTTCCTTCAACTCCCTTTCTTCCTTCCTGGAGAAATTTCTTCCCAATGGCATTACTCAGATTTTTGTCATGTGAGAAATTGCAGCATGCACAACACTCTCAACACGAGAGCGTGAACATGTCATTTTAATCTAGAATACTTAAAAAAGTAAATTGAAGATGGCAAAAGGCTGCCTATTTCTAGTGTAATGAGCCACACTTCCTGAGGAATGCTTTGGGAGATCTGATAATGCATCCAACAGGGAGAATGCCACATAAAAGGGGCAAAATACTATTCTTGCAATATACCAAACATTGGTTTCTACACAGTCAAGTGTAGCAATGCCAGTATCCTCCCAATGTCATCACATCAGCTGTATGCGAACACACCAACCAGCTCCCTCTTATTTCTAAGAATGTTAGTCCAAAGAGATGCTCAATGAAGAGATGTCTCAACAAATAACCAGCTGCAAAACTCCATTACAACACTGATACATCAGTGCTCTATCAAAATGAACCAGAGCTTCTCAAACTGAAGGACAGAGGCAGTGAGGAGAGAACAGTACACTAGAACTAGAGGAGTGGACGCAAAGCAGGAGGAGATCGCAGAGCAAGATTACACAAATAAGATTGAGACCCAAATAAACAAACAGAGGGCTGGCCCACGCAGGGCGGTCTGGTCTCAATTTGTACAATGAGCAACGCACTAGAGGCAAGACTTGTGCTTGGTTCACTGCACTGGGAAGCGTCCTGCTGGTTAGCTGTCGGGTGTTTTGGGATTGGAACCAGGAATAATTTAATTGGATTGAATGCTGGAACCGCTCACCCAGGGAAAGATCTGTGCACTTCCCAATTTATTTTCACCCTGAAGCAGCTTGTACAAACTTCAACTGGTTATGGAACTGTTGAACACTACCAAAGTGCATTTCTACCACACAAGGCTTCAAACGCAGTGACAGCCATAACTGTCCATTCCTTTCTGGGATAAGTATATGTTACACACACTGTACAGCAGCACAGGCAGCATGGAGCAACTCTTCAAAAGGTATTTGTGCTGTTAGCAAGCTTAGAGACTAAAACAGATAAAATATGCAGACAGCCTGAATGCTATCATCCTTCCTCTTCAGGAACTTTAGGAAAATGCATTTGAACTCTGAGATGGTATACACAGTACACAAGTCACTTCTGAAAGTGACACCTTTATCTACTTGTTGGTACACTGGTGTAAGGGGCTGGGTGGTTTTGTCAAAGAATCAAAGCAAAGAAATCCAAAACAACAGGATCAAGTAGGTTTTGAGGAAAGAGGAAGAAAACTTTTGGAAAACCCTGCAAGGATCATATGGTACGTAAGGAAACTGTCCCTGTGGTACCATCCTCTTGCACACGCTCTTCCCGCCTTGCACTCTCTTCCACACTCCCCTCTGCCTTCAAAACCTTCTCCAGGAGGGAGTCAATATTGCTTTTAAGATGCGAGCTGTACATAGAGCACAAAAAACATTTTTTAAAGATATTTTGTTTAAAGAGGTGGCTGCAGAGATAGTTGATGCTTTGTTTTTGATCTTCCAAAATTCCCTGGATTCTGGAATGGTTTCCATTGATTGAAAGATCGAAACATAACGCCAATATTTAAGAAGGGTGGGAGACAAAAAATGGGGAACTATAGACCAATTAGTCTGACACTGGTGGCAGGGAAAATTCTAGAGTCCTTAATTATGTACGTTATCATCGGGTATTTAGAAAATCATAACATGATTAGGCAGAGTCAACATGGCTTTACGAAAGGGAAATCAGGTTTAACAAATCTTATAGAGTTTTTTGAGGATGTAACTAGCAGGTTAGATAGGGGGGAAACATTAGATGTGGTGTATTTGCATTTCCATAAGGCATTCAACAAGGTGCCACATAAAAGGCTGTTGCATAAGATTAGAGCCCATGGAATTAAGGTAATATATTAGCATGGATTGGAGAGTGGCTAAAAGGAAGAAAACAGAGAGTAGGATAAATGGGTCTTTTTGGCAGGATGTGACTAGTGGAGTGCCACAAGGTGATCCTTGTGCTTGGGCCTCAATTATTTACGTCTATATCAATGATTTAGATGAGGAAATAGAACCTAACATATCTAAATTCGAGGACGATATGAAGATGGGCGGGAGGGTAAGCTGTAAGGATGACACACAAAGAATGCAAAGGGAAATAGACAGGCTAGGTGAGTGGGCAAGAAGGTGGCAGATGGAGTATAACATGGGGAAGTGTGAAGTTATTCACCTAGGTTGTAAAAATAGAAAAGTGGATCATGTTCTAGAGGGGAAGAGACTAGGTAGTGTTAGTGTTCAGAGGGATTTGGGTGTCCTTGTACACCAGTCACAGAAAGTTAGTATGCAGGTACAGCAAGTAAGTAGGAAGGCTAATGCCATCTTGATAGTTCGTTGCAAAAGGGTTAGGGTACAAGAGTAGGGAAGTCTTGCTGCAGTTATATAAGACCTTGGTGACACCGCATCTAGAATATTGTGTGCAGTTTTGGTCTCCTTATTTAAGAAAGGACATACTCGCCTTTGAGGGGGTGCAGTGTAGATTCATTAAGTTGGTTCCTGGGATGAGGGGGTTGACTTATGAGGATAGGTTGAGTAAACTAGGCCTATATTCTCTAGAGTATAGAAGAACTAGAGGTGATCTTATAGAAACCTATAAGATTCTTTAGGGTCTTGACAGGGTAGATAGTGTGAGACTGTTTCCCTGGTTAGAGAATCTAAAACTAGGGGTAATAGTCTCAAGATTAAGGGTCAGCCTTTTCGAACTGAGTTGAGGAAACATTTCTTCACTCAGAGGGTAGTGAATTTGTGGACTTCTCTACCCCAGAAGGCTGTGGATGCTCAGTCATTGAACATATTCAAGACTGAGGTTGATAGATTTCTAAAGGATAGAGGGATTAAGGGATATGGGGAGAGGGCAGGTAAATGGAATTAGGTTAGAAGATCAGCCATGATCTTATTAAATGGCGGGGCAGACTCGAGGGGCCGAATGGCCTACTTCTGCTCCTATGTCTTATGGTCTAAATAAATTTGTGTCTGGAGCAAGATTTGAACTGTTTTCAAGAGGAGCAGCAGTACAATTGTACATACACGTCAAGGTTAGAAACCTGGTGCATTAACCCCAGAGCCATGGCCATGTGTACACCATGGCTGGGAACAACAGAAAATAAAGCTGTAAACTGTATTCATTTTGGAAACTTGACAAAAAGAGTGCAACGTCAGCCTTTACTCTCCTTATCTGTACATTTGTATAGCATTTGCATTTTTGCATTTACATAGCATCCCCTCACACAGGATAGCATCTCAGACTTATTAACAGTGCCAGAACCTGACACGGAGCCAGGGGATTGAGGGAGATGACAGTAAGGACGATCAAAGAGGAAGGTCTTCAGGGTCGACCTGGAGATGGGGAATGAGGGGGTCAAAGCCCACAAATTCCTTTTTCGGCCACAAAATACTTTATATTATATTATACTTTACATTCTGTGAAGAGCTTTGAAATATCTCAATGACAGGATAAGGCCCTATAACAAATGCAAGGATTATTATTATTCAGGAGGAGGGATTGGGAGAGTGTGCCAGAGTTTTGGGGCGTACTGGCTGGAAGTACAGCCGCAAATTGTGGTAGTGCTAAACAAGAGCTAAATCTATGGCTGAGTGAGGATGTATGGCAGGAGCCCATACAGGGGAATAGTATGTGAGGGCAACATACTTAGTGTCTTTAGCTCTATAGGGGGGGGAATTTTCCCCCACAAAATGCCCTCCCTCATTCAGTTTCAATTTGGTACTAAACTATCAGAGGATACTGTTCCAGTTAAGTTAGATGGGGAAGAGCAAGTTTATACAATCACACAATGCTGTGTGGTGGAACGAGCCACTCAATGGCCTTGCTTATGCTCCTATGCATAAAAAGGCCGTCAACCTTCCAGAATATCAACCTACTATATCAATAAGCAAAGCTTAAACAAATCCAGACATCGGGTCACAACCACCCATCCCAGAAAAGAAAAAAATAAAGAGGGGAAAAAAGCAGAAAATATTCAGCACACTATTCTCTGCTAACCTGGAATAAAATTAAAATCACTATATCTAGGGATGATGCAGTCTGTGTAATCTAGGTCACGCTATCATGCTCCTTTCTCCACCCTCAACACATACCCTAAAAAAAACTTTAAAAAATGGTAAATTGAAAATATCCATTTACTTTGTTCGCCCACAAGAAACACAGTCACTACCCTTTACAGTGTATCCTTGAGGCTGTGTAACGTCCTCCCAGCGTGAAAGGAGCTGTACCAAATCTGAATATTATTATTGTAGTTACTACTGAAAAACAGCAGGTTGATCAGCATCTGATGTTCAGGTGGCACATTGCTCAGAACCTCTCTCCATTTCAGATTTACAGCATTTCCATTTTCACTTTTTACCCAGCTTGCCATTTTAATCTCCTATTCAGAACTACTATACAATGCTAGTCAATAAAGGACAAATGGGAAATGCAAGGAATGGCTATTCCCTTTTATATATAAACAGATCTCCAGCAGAGGAAAGTGCTTTGAAACTCCATCATCTGACACCAGAATCCAGCCCTTGAAAGATGATGTGATTTAAATTGCCTACAAAAGCAGCGTTATCAGTTTGACCCATGCTGCTCCATATATACAGTGCTGACGATTTGGAAAAAAAGAGCCAGACAGCAGTGTTTGAAGCTGACAGTGAAGCCTGCTAACAGATTGAAGTTTTCATCATTCTAGATCATTTCATCAAACAAGTGAAATGAACAATTTT